AATTTCTCTTTCAGATTTGTCATCATTAGTGTATAAGAATGCAAGAGATTTCTGTGCATTATTTTGTATCCTGCTACTTTACCAGATTAATTGATTAGCTCTAGTAGTTTTCTGGTAGCATCTTTGGGATTCTCTGTGTATAGTATCATGTCATCTGAAAACAGTGACAGTTTTACTTCTTTTCCAGTTGGATTCCTTTTTTTGGTTTTCGTCTCTGATTGCTGTGGCTAAAACTTCCAAAACTGTGTTGAATAATAGTGGTGAGAGTGGGCAAGCTTGTCTTGTTCCTGATCTTAGAGGAAATGGTTTCAGTTTTTCACCATTGAGAACAAGGCTGGCTGTGGGTTTGTCATATATGGCCTTTATTATGTTGGGGTAAGTTCCCTCTATGCCTACTTTTTGGAGGGTTTTTATCATAAGTGGGTGCTGAATTTTGTCGAAAGCTTTTTCTGAATCTGTTGAGATGATCATATGGTTTTTCTCCTTCAGTATGATAATATGGTTTATCACATTGATTGATTTGTGTATATTGAAGAATCCTTGTATTCCTGGGATAAACTCCACTTGATCAGGGTGTATGATCCTTTTAATGTGCTGTTGGATTCTGTTTGCTAGTATTTTGTTGAGGATTTTTGCATCTATCTTCCTCAGTGATAGATGGCCTGTAGTTTTCTTTCTTTGTGACATCTTTGTCTGCCTTTGGTATCAAGGTGATGGTGGCCTCGTAGAATGAGTTTGGGAGTGTTCCTCCCTCTGCTTTATTTTGGAAGAGTTTCAGAATGATAGGTGTTAACTCTTCTCTAAATGTTTGCTAGAATTCGCCTGTGAAGCCATCTGGTCCTGGGCTTTTGTTTGTTGGGAGATTTTTAATCACAGTTTCCAATTTCAGTGCTTGTGATTGGTCTGTTTATATTTTCTATTTTTTCCTGGTTCAGTGTCGGAAGGTTGTGCTTTTCTAAGAATTTGTCCATTTCTTCCAGGTTGGCCATTTTATTGGCATAGAGTTGCTTGTAGTAATCTCTCATGATCCTTTGTATTTCTGCAGTGTCAGTTGTTACTTCTTTTTCATTTCTAATTCTGTTGATTTGAGTCTTCTCCCTTTTTTTCTTGATGAGTCTGGCTAATGGTTTATCAATTTTGTTTATCTTCTCAAAGAACCAGCTTTTAGTTTTATTCTTTGCTATTGTTTCCTTCATTTCTTTTTCATTTATTTCTGATCTGATATTTATGATTTCTCTCCTTCTGCTAACTGTGGGGTTTTTTTTGTTCTTCTTTCTTTAATTACTTTAGGTGTAAGTTTAGGTTGTTTATTCGAGATGTTTCTTGTTTCTTGAGGTAGGATTGTATTGCTATAAACTTCCCTCTTAGAACTGCTTTTGCTGCATCCCATAGGTTTTGGGTTGTCATGTTTTCATTGTCATTTGTTTCTAGGTATTTTTTGATTTCCTCTTTGATTTCTTGAGTGATCTCTTGGTTATTTAGTAGTGTATTGTTTAGCCTCCATGTGTTTGTATTTTTTACAGTCTTTTGCCTGTAATTGATATCTAGTTTTATAGCATTGTGTTTGGAAAAGATAATTGATACAATTTCAATTTTCTTAAATTTATCAAGGCTTGATTTGTGACCCAAGATATGATCTATCCTGGAGAATGTTCTATGAGCACTTGAGAATAAAGTGTATTCTGTTGTTTTTGGATGGAATGTGCTATAAATATCATTTAAATCCATCTTGTTTAATGTGTCATTTAAAGCTTGTGTTTCCTTATTTATTTTCATTTTGGATGATCTGTCCATTGGTGAAAGTAGGGTGTTAAAGTCCCGTACTATGATTGTGTTACTGTTGATTTCCCCTTTTATGACTGTTAGCATATACAGCACCTTATATATTGAGGTGCTCCTATGTTGGGTGCATAAATATTTACAATTGTTATACCTTCTTGGATTGATCCCTTGATCATTTTGTAGTGTCCTTCTTTGTCTCTTGTAATAGTCTTTATTTTTATTTATTTATTTATTCATTTATTATTTTTGGTTGTGTTGGGTCTTCGTTATTGTGCGAGGCCTTTCTCTAGTTGTGGCAAGCAGGGGGCCACTCTTCATTGCGGTGTGTGGGCCTCTCACTGTCGCGGCCTCTCTTGTTGCGGAGCACAAGCTCCAGATGCACAGGCTCAGTAGTTGTGGCTCACGGGCCTAGTTGCTCCGCGGCATGTGGGACCTTCCCAGACCACGGCTCGAACCCATGTCCCCTGCATTGGCAGGCAGATTCTCAACCACTGCGCCACCAGGGAAACCCAGTAGTCTTTATTTTAAAGTCTATTATGTCTGATATGAGAATTGCTACTCCAGCTTTTTTTTGATTTCCATTTGCATGGAATATCTTTTTCCATCCCCTCACTTTCAGTCTGTATATGTCCCTAGGTGTGAAGTGGGTCTCTTGAAGACAGCATATGTACAGGTCTTGTTTTTGTATCCATTTAGCCTGTCTGTGTATTTTGGTTGGAGCATTTAGTCCATTTACATTTAAGGTAATTATTGATATGTATGTTCCTATTACCATTTTCTTAATTGTTTTGGGTTTGTTATTGTAGGTCTTTTCCTTCTCTTGTGTTTCCTGCCTAGAGAAGTTCCTTTAGCATTTGTTGTAAAGCGGATTTGGTAGTGCTGAATTCTCTTAGCTTTTGCTTGTCTGTAAAGGCTTTAATTTCTCTGTTGAACCTGAATGAGATCCCTGCTGGGTAGAGTAATCTTTTTCCTTTTCATCAGTTTAAATATGTCCTGCCACTCCCTTCTGGCTTGCAGAGTTTCTGATGAAAAATCAACTGTTAACCTTATGGGGATTCCCTTGTATGTTATTTGTTGCTTTTCCCTTGCTGCTTTTAATATATTTTCTTTGTATTTAATTTTTGATAGTTTGATTAATATGTGTCTTGGAGTGTTTCTCTTTGGATTTCTCCTGTATGGGACTCTCTGCGCTTCCTGGGCTTTATTGACTATTTCCTTTCCCATATTAAGGAAATTTTCAACTATATTCTCTTCAAATATTTTCTTAGTCCCTTTCTTTTTCTCTTCTTCTTGTGGGACCCCTATAATTCAAATTATGGTGCATTTAATGTTGTCCCAGAGGTCTCTGAGACTGTCCTCAGTTCTTTTCATTCTTTTTTGTTCATTCTGCTTTGTGGTAGTTATTTCCACTATTTTGTCTTCCAGGTCACTTATCTGTTCTTCTGCCTGAGTTATTCTGCTATTGATTCCTTCTAGAGAATTTTAAATTTCATTTTTTGTGGTGTTCATCATTGTTTGTTTGCTCTTTAATTCTTCCAGGTCCTTGTTAAACATTTCTTGTGTTTTCCTCATTCCTCATTCCTGATCCATTTCCAAGAGTTTGGATTATCTTTTCTATCATTACTCTGAATTCTTTTTCAGGTAGACTCTGTATTTCCTCTTCATTTTTTTGCTCTCGTGGGTTTTTACCTTGCTTCTTCACCTGCTGTGTATTTCTCTGTCTTCTCCTTTTGTTTAACTTACTGTGTTTGGGGTGTCCTTTTCCTAGCCTGCAGGTTTGTAGTTCCCGTTGTTTTTGGTGTCTGCCCCCATTGGGTAAGTTTGGTTGAGTGGGTTGTGTAGGCTTCCTGGTGGAGGGTACTGGTGCCTGTGTTCTGGTGGGCAGGACTACATCTGGTGGTGTGTTTTGGGGTGTCTGTGAACTTAGTATGAGTTTAGGCAGCCTCTCTGCTAATGGGTGGGGTTGTGTTTCTGTCTTGCTAGTTGTTTGGCATGGGGTGCCCAGCATTGGAGCTTGCTGGTTGTTGAGTGGAGCTGTGTCTTAGCGTTGAGATGGAGATATCTGGGAGAGCTCTCACAGATTGATTTACATGGCGCTGGGAGGTCTCTGGTGGACCAATGTCCTGAATTCGGCTCTCCCACGTCAGAGGCTCAGGCCTGACAGCCTGCTGGAGCACCCTGACCCATCAGCCACACGGCTGGAGAAGATGAGCTGTGAGTTGGGTGTCAGCCACTGCCCTGTTGTAGTTCTGTCTCAGCTGTCTCCAAAGGTCACCCAGATACATTGGGTTATTCCACCATTCCTCAGAACTTGCATATGCCAGTCTGGGATTTGTAGATGTCCTCCTGTTACTCTTCATTGAAATACCTTGCATTGGTAGTGAGAGATATGCTAATAGTGTTAGTTCTCTTCAGTTCAGAGACTGGGACAGTCTGAGCCTTCATGTGGCCAAGTCAGGAGCAGCTGGCCAGCGGTCCCAAAGTGATAACGTGTCAGATTCCAAGAAGGCTTTTGCAACTAGAGAAAGCCCACGTGCCGCAATGGAGACCCAATGCAGCCAAAAAAAAATCTTTTTAATTAAAAAAACCAAAAGAATGTGACTCCAATAAAGACATTAACGTGCCAGAAAGAAAAGCTGTGTAGTGGATGCTGTGGTGAGCCACCCAGACCTCACCTTCAGGACAGACATTCCCATCCCCCCTATATTTTTTATTTATTAATTTTATATATTGAAATAGTACCTTACTCCTACTCTGGTGGCCACGTTTCTAGAAACATATCACTTCTTACTCTCAGTATTGGCAGCCACTATTTGTACAGTACTTTATAGCTTAGAAGGTGTTCATTTGTTTTCTGATTTGACCCTTACAATAACTCTGTGAGGGAAGTAGGCTGGTTTATCCCCAGTTACAGAGGATGACCCTGAGGCCCAGGAGGGTTTAATGACTTGTCACAGTCACTCAGTCTGGTGTGTTAGATCCAGGACTTAGTTGGACTCCGGGTGTCTCTCTAAAATCCCATCTAGCATAGTTTAGATTGGTGAGTCTGACTTCTTATTTAAGAGTCTTGGAAAGCAGACAGGTTTTCAAACATTTTAGAAATGCAGGTACTTACTTGTGAGTGTCGTCTTTACTATTTCCATGTTTATTAATGCTGTGTCATAGTTATAATGGGGAAAAAATATATATTTTCTGTGCCATTATATTTTTGTTTTTAGGGGGTGCAGCCCGCCACAGGTGAGGTTGTGTTCGACAGTTTCCAGGACTCTGCTTCCCGTTCAGAGCTAGAAACTCGGATATTATGCCTGCAGCCAGTGGAGCTTCTGCTTCCATCAGACTTGTCAGAGCAAACAGAGATGCTCATCCACAGGACCACAGCTGTTAGGTGAGTTGGCACATTGCTGGAAAGTCATGTTGATTCTGAAACTTAGATCTGATTCCCAAACTGATAATAAAGTTGTTAAAAATGATTTTTCTTTATAAAAATATTTCATCAGTAGTAGTGGAAATTCCGAAAAAGAAAACCAAAATGACCCTTAATGTCACCTTAATGAAGGCTTTTAGAAGTTGCTCTTTTTAAAGGGGGTTATGATATTTAATGAAATTATTTGATATTAAAGGGCTTATGATATTATTAAATGATATTATTTGGTAATTAATCTTCAGTTTCTGCAGGTAATCATTTCTTAGAAAGCTTATATAATTTTGGAAATGCCTTATTTGTGCCGCAAGTTTCAATTTGTGGCTGAGTCCACTAGTTAAATTTACGAGATCTATGGTCACTCCTCTTATTTATGAGGCAGTGTGCTAGGCACGATGGCGTATGGAGGGAGAAGATGTGCTTTTGATATGTGTCTGGCAGAGTTTATAATCCAGCGGGAGAGGCAGATGTGTAGAGACCTAACTGGATTCCCAAAACATGATGTATTGCATGACAGGCATGAAGGTGCCTAGGTGAGAAGATTCTGTACTGTTACCCAAGGAGTTTGGTGGGAGAAGAGACTGAAAAGGTGGGCTGGGGCTCCGGTGAAGAGGACTTTATATATTGAGGAATTTGGACTTTAGACTAGGCCGGAGAGCCCATGAAGATTTATATTTAATAAAATCAGTTGGAAAATCAAATTAATTGATTCAGTGAAGTTCTGTATGTTTCTTTGTTCTTCGAGTTAAATGTTCCTTTTTCATCTGACTTGAAATTCTTTCAAAGTAGCTTTCAAAATATGTTTTTCTGATTGTAACCCTAATCCATATTCATTTAGGAAAAGTTGAGAGTTAAAAAAAAACCCATAAAAATAACAAGCTATAACTCAGAGATAACTACTGTTAAACATCTTGGTGTATTATTTCTGTGTATAATCATTTTTTGTTTATAAACTTTGATTCATGTTACAAAATCAGTTTTGTATTCTGTTTTATTTTAAATTCCCCATGTATTTTTTTACTTTATTATGGAAAATTTCAAACATATACGAAATTATACTGAATAGTTTAGTGAACCCCATGAATCCATCAACCAGCTTCAGTATTTCTCAACCAGCCAATCTCATTTCATCTATAACTCTACGCTCTCCCTCCCTGGATTATTTATCTGAAGCAAATTCTAGAGAACATCATTGCACCTGCCAATATTTCAGTCAGTATTTATGAAGACAAGATGACTACATAACATTCAGTCATATAAGTGGATCATACAGTAATTTATCTATTCTCCTTTTGTTAGATTGTTTTCATTTTTTTCAGTATTACAAATATTGCTATGATGAATATCCATGCATAGAAATATTTGTGTACATTTCTGATTATTTCCTTAAGCTAAATTCCTAAAAGTGGAATTAATTGGTTAGAGAGTATAAACATTTAGAAAACTCTTGATTGCTTGCTAGAATTGGTAATATTAATTTACACTTCTACCACTATAGTATAGGCAGGTTGTTTGAGCCCTTGCTAGTATGGGAAGTGATCACTGAAATAATTTCTGCCAATTGGATAGACAAAAAATTCTGCATGAATTCCCCTTATTTTGTTCTTAATCCTTTTCTGACAGTGTTCAAACTTGGATAATTAAAAGTCAGACAAGTAGACTGATAAGGGATGCTGCCTTTGGAGGGCTAAAAAAGTTAATAAAATCTCTAAAGATTTTAAAGATAGCCTTCTAAAACTATATTTCCCATATTTTATATCTTTGATTTTGTTAATTTTCCTTCATACCTGAGTGTATATTTGATTAAATTAGATGTAATTGAGATTAAAATTGATCAGTTGAATCAACACTCTCATTTTTCTGATTTCCACTTATTTTTTTAGCTTTCATTTATTTATTTTCATAATTTATGATTTATTTTTAGTAGAATACTATGATTCAAACCAGTACTACTGAACAACAGCTAGAAATGAAGACCACATTAAGATTTTGAAACAGCACATCATTTAGAAATCTTTCACACAAGATATAATGCCCAACAGACAAATGTATAAATTAATGTAGACAACTGGAAATTCTTCAGTTGGCATAGATTATCTATCCCATTTTGGTGGCAAACACTTTTTTAACTAGACAAAATATTTGAGACTATATTATCATATCTCATACTATGATTATTATTCATTCTCAGAAAATTGGATATATTCAATTCTAGCTACAGTATAATCACAGCATTCTAACTAGAAAGTCTTCTCTTTTTTTTAACATCTTTATTGGAGTATAATTGCTTTACATTGTTGTGTTAGTTTCTGTTGTATAACAAAGTGAATCAGCTATATATATATACATAGATCCCCATATCTCCTCCCTCTTGCATCTCCCTCCCACCCTCCCTATCCCACCCCTCTAGATGGTCACAAAGCACTTATTTTTATAAAACAATAAAGGCAAAATTCAATAAAACATTCCACAAAGACATTGCCAAAATGGAATTTTTTGGCTGGCAAGCCTGGGTATGTTCCTAAATGTTTACTCATCAAATGAGATTCAAAAGCCATTTGGCATACCAGAGATAGTTTGGGTGTCATATGTGGGTTTTACCAAATTTGATGACTGCCTTTGTCTTGTTTTATTTTGTATTTTTCTGGTTAGCATTGGGAGTATGTAATTTTTTCTGTGTTTACTAACCACATGTAATTTTTTATTTTATTCACATAATGGACTAAACAGTCAACAGTTAACCCACGTTTCTGTGTAGTCTAAAGCTGATCCATATCTAGGTATAGAATGGAGCAGTAGAGATTCAAAAGTCGAACGGTCAAGCAGTGTGGCTCTTGTGACATAGGGTTTGGGTTCGAAAATTGGCTTTCCTCGTAGTGACTTTGGTTGAATTACTCAATTGTGTTGTCCTTCAGTTTCCTTTTCTGTAAAATAGAGAAAGTAAGAGTGTTTACCTCATAGGATTGCTGTGAGGATTAAATAAGTTAAAATAAAGGCAAAGCGCTTGAAACAGCACCCAGCATAGAAAGCTCTCTATAGATGGAAGCTGTTCTTTCTGTTATTCCCATCAGCCATTATCTCTCTGAATACTGCCTCTCCCCTCTGCTCCACTAGACCTCCTACTAGAAGTACGTTGGATATTCTACTCTCTGTGCATGGCCCTTTATGGTGTCACCTCCCATCCACAGCTATGATTTTCATGTGGTTTTTGGCCCTTGGGGATTTCCTTTTTTTTTTTTTTTAATCTCTTGAAAAAACATTTTTGATTATATATTAATTCACTATTTCTCTGTATTTTTAGTGTACTGCCTGGACCAATTAAACCTCCATACTTAATGGTAGCATTCCATTATTTTTATGTTTAGAAATATCTCTCCTTATTCTGAAAACACTTACACAATTACTTATATTTTATTTTAGTCGATTTATTATTTTAAAAAAATTTTTACATTCAACTTCTAATTCACTTTTATTTTGCTTTACTGTGTGAAGTGTGGTCCTACCTTAATTTCTCCCTAAATGCTAGTGGGTCCACTTTAACATCCATAAAATTTAGCCTTTATCAACCTGAGATACAGTTCCTAGCCTTGTTTAAAAAAAAAAAAAAAGAAAAAAAAAGTTAGCAACGGGGATCGGGAATGCTTTTTTTTTTTTTTTTTTTGCGGTATGCGGGCCTCTCTGTTGTGGCCTCTCCTGTTGCGGAGCACAGGCTCCGGACGCGCACGCTCCGCGGCCATGGCTCACGGGTCCAGCGCTCCGCGGCATGTGGGATCTTCCCGGACTGGGGCACGAACCCATGTCCCCTGCATCGGCAGGCGGACTCTCAACCACTGTGCCACCAGGGAAGCCCGGGAATGCTTTTAATTAGGGTATGAAGAACAGAGCTTGCCAAAACTCTGTTCCATATTTACTACCAGTAAATAACATAGCATTGAATTTTCAAGGAGAAAAGTTTGTTTTGTGTTTCTGGTGGTATCTTCTTCTTTGTTTTAAATAGTGATGGGTAGGTTCTTGAGTCTCAGATTTAGAATTCCTTTTTTTTTTCTTACACTATAAACCTGAAGTTAAAGCCATCCATTTTTGTCACTTAGTGGTTGATATTTTATTAATACTGAAGACATAATAAAGCTTTGTGAGAAAAGGCAGAATGTTTTGGAATTACAGAATATCCATTTTAAGTACGTATTAGGTTTTTTGTTTTGTTTTGTATTTTTTAACTTTGACCACAAGAGGTCTCCAAAGCATTTCATATACCATGGATAACAATTGAAAGACTACGAAAAGCTTTACTTTTATTTTTATTTGTCTAGATACAGAATTAATTTGTATTGTATGATAATTTAGAGTAAATAACTATTAGTCAAAGATAGTACTAAGCTAAAGTTATTCTTTCTCAATAATGATAAACTATCAATTTTTCTTCAGTGAATTATCTTTTATAGATAATTTATGTAAAATTTTATAGATCATTTATGTAAAGTGTGTTTATAGATTTCAGTTTGGTTCTTAGGAAATTAGTCTTACTATATTAATTGTTATCTTTTCCATTTGTTGTAAGAATGTATACATTCTTACATTCTCTATAGAGAGAAGCAAAGGGAAAGTAATGATTTTAAGCACTGTATTAACTGCAGTTAAGATCACTTTAGCTTAGAGATGTTATATGTTTATAAAACTGGTCAAGGGCTTCCCTGGTGGTGCAGTGGTTGAGAGTCTGCCTGCCGGTGCAGGGGACACGGGTTTGTGCCCCGGTCCGGGAAGATCCCACGTGCCGCAGAGCGGCTGGGCCCATGAGCCATGGCCGCTGAGCCTGCGCGTCCGGAGGCTGTGCTCCGCAACGGGAGAGGCCACAACAGTGAGAGGCCTGTAAACCAAAAAAAAAAAAAAAAAAAAAAAAAAAACCAAAAACTGGTCAAGAGGAAAGGTATAGAAAACAATAAACAAATATTAATTAATATTTACTA